TGGGTCACTTCGATGGGTTCTTGTCGTCCAAATTGCTTACGTAAAAGCTATATTATGTTATGTATAAACATTTAATATACTGTATTTGTGGCGCTATAGTTTTACACCTAGTGTTCAATCAAATTTAAGTGTAATTTGCGTATCTTTAAATTACGATATTGTACAGTCACGATAATGGTATGTTAATCAAAATGTAGGTGAATTATATTTAGTGTAATCGTATTTATAAGGAATTGATTGATTAACCTAGATTTTATCTGTTTTTATCAAGTTAAAAGCACAAGTATTGGTTATAAATGATGCTAATTCCTCGCTATGCGTCAAAATATTTTATCGTTAATAGGATAATGTTTCTTTTGTTATTACTTTGTAATTGATAACTTTTAATGTGGATGTCATCAAATATTTAATTTATTTTTAGAGAGCACCACATTAATGAACACTGGATCGTATTAAACTCAGCAGAATAAGCTTGATAATAAGAACGTACAAGTTTATTCCCGGTTCGGGAATCGAACATGGTAAACGTTCGGCCACGGAGGCAGTTACATTTTAAAGTTAAATTAAAAAGTGTATGCTTTATATATTTTGATTGTTTCTCGATATCAAAATGATACGATTATAAGTAACGGCGTTTATGTGCTTTACACAAGAATCCTGTATAATTAGCGTGACCATACGTTCCGCTTTGAGCGGGATAGTCCCTTTTTTAAGCTTCCCGCTTTCACAAAACAGGACACATAATAAATACAAAAAAATGACGCTAAAACGCAAAATATAAAGGCAGCCCACCAGACTACACAAGATTATTACTAGTTCGTTTTTAATTTTTTTAACCATTTAATATTTCGTAACTATCATAAACTTGTGTTTTATTTTTAAAAACAATAATTAATAACAGATATTCCGTTTTGAGGGAAAAAGTAATGGTCACGTTATGTGATACTTGTATGTTTTCTACATAAAGTATTTTTTATTACAGGGCAGCAGAATGCGGTCAATCAGTTCGTTCATTCGGCGGCAGCGAGGCTGGCTGCGCTACAAACGTGTTCGAGGAGCGCCTGCGCATGGCCGACGAGGACGAGCCCGATGTCGTGCTTCCCCACTTCCAGAGGGTTGCTATTAGTGGAGAGGATACTTCTGGGGTTAGTACCGAATAAAAAATATAATTCAGCAGTGTTACAACTACGCTCTTTGGTGTAATAAGGCCTCATTTATAAAATTGCAACTTTCAAGGATAGAGGTTTAAAAATTATACTATAAACAAAATAACCGATTACTTCACATATACACAAATTCGTTTGTTGCATGTAGTTCGTAGTGCTATTTTTAACCGACTTTAAAAAATAAGGAAGAGGTTCTTAATTCGACTGTATTTTTACTACTACTACTACGGCATTTGTGAACCGGTTTTGTTTATTCTTTTTTTGTTGGAAAGAGGGCACCTCAGTATAGGTCCCATCTAAATTTGAAGAAAATATTAAATCCGATTTCGCGCACTTTCCAATAACCTATTTTAATAATCTCGGTACAGAGTACTAAAAAAACCAACCTCAAAAGTAAGTGGAGTTCCGTCTATTTGCTAAGTTTATTGAAATATCCCCTAGTTCGCCACTATATGGGACTTGACACTGGAGATAATAAAAATCGGTTCTCACTACTCAAAGTATATTGAGAGAAAAACGCCTTGAATTGGAGAAATAGCAAAATCAACCATTAAAGTAATTGCTCCTAAATTAAAGTTAGGCCCTATTTATAAAAATGAATCTTCATGCGTGAACAGCCACCCTTCGAGGTGGATGCTTTTCTTCAAAATGAAATGGGACCACTATGGAAGTACCCCCTTTCCAACAAAAAAAGAATCATGGAAATCGGTTCACAAATACCGGAGTTATCGCGTAACATACGTACAAAAAAAAGAACATACAGACGAATTGAGAACCTCCTCCTTTTTCGAAGTCGGTTAATAAAACTTTGCAAGTAGATGTAATTCGACGAACTTTTGAGGTCGTTTTTTTATAAGAAAAGTTACAATTACTATGACTTCCATGTGACAAAAACAATTTTTGACATATGACGTAACATGTGGCTTCAGTTTCTTTTTAATTTAACGAAACTGACATCATATCAATATCATTGACAAAATCATTGGCGAAATCGCCATTTTTTTTTGTATAATTTTTAAAATAATGTTAAACTACCGTACATAGTTATTTTTACATGACATTGGCAAAATCATTGATTATTTCAATGGGGCCATAACATTTAAAAGAAGAAGAAGAAGAACGAAACTGACACTGGCGATGATCGCCATAATGTTTATATTATTCTTATAAAACTGACGCTGGCACAAACCTAGTGGCTGCCACAAAGTAAATAATAATAATAACAACAGCGTCACTTCGGTTTGTACTGTGGGCAATGTGTGAGGAGGCGCCAGTTTCGATTCCCAGTAGGACCTAGAAATTGCTTCTTCCATTCCTCTGATAGTCATAGTACAGGGTTTGAAACCAGGTCATTGGTGTGATTGTCTGGCACATTTAGTGATGATTTAAATTAAATGAACTTTTTTACTTACGTTTTTGGGTCCCCTTGACCTGCTTCACTTTACAGTTATCAATATTTTCATAAAAGCCTTTTTACTCTTCTCAAAACGAACTCTAGAGTCCAGAACCTACTTTGAGGCCGTCCTCCTTAACAGTGAAAGTAAAAAGATACTTATCGTTAAATTCTGATTCTTAGCATCCTACTTTCACTGATTTGCTACAAATTATAATAATTTGGTCCTTCGAGCCGGATATTGGTGCTGTATCCTAAGCGGTTTGGTTATTCTTAAACTTTTAAATGTAAAAATTGAAATGTTTTTGAACGATCGAACACCAAGAAACATTTTCTTCGACCCGATGGGATTTGAACACTAACGGCACTGAAAGCCGCAAAACCAGTACAAAAGTCTATAATAAAAACACAATAGGAGAATTTTGTCAACTCTATAATTTAACCTGTAGTTTATTTGGTATAAAGCAGTGCTACGGTTCAGCGTGGTCATGAGTTCAAGTCCCATCGGATCGAAGAAAATTTTTCTTTCTGTAATGTAAGCTTGTAACTAATTTTTACAAGGAATGTCACCTGTGCTATACTATGAGTCCAAGGTACAGTCCTCCGATGATTCAAAGGTTACAAATGTCAGATACGAAGTTTTCCAACAAAACGCAAACTCATGAACACTAAACTTATAAACAGGTACCACTAGAAGATCTCCAACAAGCGTCATCCTTACTCGTGCAAGCGTTGGAGATCCGCAAGAAATACATGGCGATGTCAAAGCAGAGCTTCGCTCACATCACCAGCCGGTTTATCCACAGCATGGACGTCAACGCGACTCGTAACCACACACCTAGTGTTAAAGTGCCTAAGAGTCATATTGCAGGTGAGAATTTGTAAAGATAGGAAATTAATTTACAGACAGAAGAAGGAAATTCGGAAAGGATGGAAATATCGTGTCTTGGCTCGGAGCAAAAATGATAAAACGTTGGCTGCAGTGGCTGCAACTGTCCGGGCTTCTCTGAAAAACAAATGAACGCGATTTAGATCAGAAAAATCCTGTCATTTGCATTGTGCAATAAACGCCAAAATCGAGTTCTTAAATAAAATGGTGACCAGTTCGCTATTGACAGTCAACAAGGATGTTTTAACAGAATTTCTCGATTATTGCAAAAGGTTCATTGTTTTCGTTTTTGGGAAATACTACAAATTCGACTTCTGTTGCTAGATCATCTTGTCCATCCACCCCCAATGGAAGATAAGGATCCCTGGTGGGACTGTCCATACCCTTCTGCCAAAGGGTACACCATCCGTGCCGACGAAGGTGTCTTCAACCTTTACAAGATGGATGAAAACGGAGTCGAGACCAGACTGCCTTACGAGTATATCAATCTGGCGCAGTACATACAGGATAAGAATATTATGTGCAATATGATCGCTGATGGACCACTGTAAGTACTTACAATTGAATTTATATCAATTATTGTTTTGTGTCCTACAGAATTTTGGCCAATGTCCATTTTTTCTGATAGGTGATGAAGCCATCTGCTATATAAAAGAGATTGAATTACTGACTGAATTTTTCCTTTATAATTAGAAGATGTAGATGGACTGGAAATCCAGAAATACGTAAGATTCAAGATTACAATTTCCGTTTAATGTTTGAACTGTTAAATTATCTCTACTGAAACTTTATTAGATTGCTCTCTCTTCACTTAATTGAGTGGTTGTTTTATTGCATCTCCTGCGACAGGAAATCATTCTGCTACCGGCGTCTGAGCTACCTCTCTTCCAAGTTCCAATTGCACGTGTTGCTAAACGAGCTGAGGGAACTAGCTTCGCAGAAGGCAGTGCCCCATAGAGACTTCTACAACATTAGAAAAGTGGACACTCATATCCACGCCGCGTCTTGCATGAACCAGAAGCATCTGCTTCGATTTATCAAGAAAACCCTCAAAAACCATGCCGATGAGGTGAGATGTTTAGAAATATTCTTGAAACAGTTATGGACATAGTTGATTACTTCACTTAACTAAATAGGCACAGCTCTTCCAGGTTTTTTATTTTGATTTACATAAATTATACATAATTTATTTTACAGGGGGATAAAAGAAACCACTGACCATTTTAAAGGAGCATACTGTATAATGGAAATAAAAAATACATGTTCGGTTTTTTTTTCAAATACTTAATAAATAAAAAAGTTATGACGTGTCAAAGTTTTCCGAAAAATTGTGAACAGTATCGATACTCGATGATTAGCAGACGCCGTTGCTATAGCAACAAGAGCGGTGTGGGGCTGTGGGCCCCACACTTACTATGTTGAGGTAACCATGCGCTAAAAGTTATCGGGAAATATTAACAAAAAAATGGGGAAGTGTTCTATTACTGAATCTTATGCACAGGAAAAAAAATGGCCAGTAATTTTTTTATCACCCTGTATTAACAGTGACATCACCACCATCATGAACTATTTCTTCCCATATTCAAGCATGGGTCACCTCCAAAGAGAGGGTTTTCTTAGGTTATAGTCCGCCACGCTGTCCCAATACGTAGTTGGGGACTTCTCAAGTTGTCTAAGGCTTGTGAACCTCTTCGACATGCAGGCGTCATCACGGTATTTTCTTTCATCGTTCGAGAGGTATTGGTACTAGACATTTACAAGTATGTATATGTACGTTATTCGTCCTCCCATTGGGCTGCCATCGTCCTAACAGTGAATTTATAGTAGTTATTTTTACAACTTCCTGGATTTAAAGGACACATAACAAAGCAATTGCGGCCCATATGATCATAATCGCTATGTCCCTTTCATAGTCGTTCTTATTCCAGGTGGTAACGTTGCACAAAGGAACGCCAATGACATTGAAGGCTGTCTTCCAGTCGATGAATCTCAGCACTTATGACCTCACCGTCGATATGCTTGACGTTCATGCGGTAAGTGTATCAGTATTTTTGGACTATTATAGAACCCAGAAAATGCAACGTGGACCAATGAACTGGCGACGGTTGTGGGAATCTGCTGGATATTAGCGGCGAAGGTCAATCTTCGTAGCGATCTTTGGGCGAGTCTTTCGGCGGAAATGATCATAGCAGAATCTAGTACTGTGTGATCTGTATTACGCAATTTGAAGAATAAACTGGAAAATTGCGATGTCCTATTGAAAACCTTAAACGAATGTTAATTGGGAGCAAGTGCGCCCAGGAACGTCCACCATGATTTTTTTGGGAGTCTTAGCACACTATACAGATGATGATGTCGGAATTTGTTGCTGAAGCAAGTTCTTGTGCTTGTTCCAGGACCGCAACACATTCCATCGCTTCGACAAGTTTAACGCGAAGTACAACCCCATAGGCGAAAGCAGGCTGAGAGAAGTTTTCCTCAAAACTGACAACTACATGAACGGAAAATACTTCGCCAGAATCATTAAGGTGAGTAATTCTTTACTTACTTTCATTCACTTCTTTGCTGAACACAGAGGAATCGAAAAATTAGCTTTGTTTCAGCTTCTGGAAGTTAATTTTGCTCCATAAATAGGATTGCTACTATAGACGGGAAAAACGAAGAAAAAAACAAAAAGTTGTGTTCTATTAGAAGTTCTAAATTGGAGCCCTAATCAGAGGTGGTTGACGATTACTCCACCGACAACAGCATAACTCTTAAAAGAAAAGAAGAAGAACAGTAAATCTCTTTAATTTTCTGCAGATTGAACATGTTCAGTAGCAAAATGTTGTATTTGAGGTCCACTCCCGGAATTTGGCTGGGCGTAAGAGCTCATTTGTGGAAACTGCAGTACAATATTCTGGCATTGAAAGCAGATTTATTTGTTGCGAAGTTTTTAACGTTGTCTAAATATGTTCTTGTTGAAATACGAGTAAAGCTTAAAGCTTGTGCTACGGGAAACGTACCGTTTCTGAAGCCTCGTCTTCTGCTTGTGTGCACAGGAAGTGGCGTCAGACCTGGAAGAGAGCAAGTACCAGAACGCGGAGCTGCGCCTGTCCATCTACGGCAAGAGCCGCACCGAGTGGGCCAACCTGGCGAAGTGGGCCATCCAGTACAAGGTGTACTCCGACAATATACGCTGGCTTATTCAGATCCCGAGGCTCTAGTAAGTTTGCATGTCGTTGTACAACTCTATAAACTCATATACTTACCACTGCAGCGCACGTGTCTCCTGTCATCTAGCTATCAAGTCCAATCTTAATGACTAAACGACGACATACTCTTATGCCTTGTGTGAGGTTGCTTCTTGATGTTGAAGCTGAGAAACGCTTGCGAAGCATGTTCCTGATCATTTGATTAGAGTGCACGAAGTGACTTCCTTGTCACGATGCTGGCCACTTTTAAAATTTTGAATCGCTCTCGAATTCCTTATCCTTCCATTATTCTTACATTGCTTCATTCTATCATCACTCCCATCAATATTCTCGAAGCGAGGAGACGTACTCATGGATTATCCTCATGTAAAACTCTAACTTCACTTGATTTATTGTTTTTAAATCATTAGATGCACGTATCCTATTTTATTACCCTCTTGGGGCATTTATATTGTTTGCACCTTTTTTATATCATTTTATTATTTCTTGTTGCAGCCTTTCTTCATCGTTTTCTGTTTTTTAAATTTACGTGGACCGACCCCTTCTTTTTTGGTTCCGCTAAGGTTAGGCTACATCCCTTAAGACTATCTGGATACTAAACGACTCAATTTGTCTTCCAGCGATATCTTCAAATCGAACAAGATCATTAACAATGTACAAGAGTTCCTAAGCAACATCTTCCAGCCTCTATTCGAGGTGACCAACGACCCCAACAGCAACATTGAGCTGCACAAATTCCTCATTGTAAGTTTCTGTCATATTATGTGATCGCGAATATTTACACAGATTTTAGACGTTTAGTGACCAAGCCGCTACGTTGGCAACCCTGGATGTTAAGCAACAATGTGGCCGACGACGTTTAATTAGTAAATGCCTATTGATTCTAGTCTTCAATAGGCCTATGAAGCTTCCGGGAAATACAGATAAAATCCACTCTTTTGCGGTTTAGGTTATGTTTAATAATGTTCAGCCAAATAATCCAAGTTTCCCTGCAGCATGTGATAGGTTTCGACAGCGTGGACGACGAGTCGAAACCCGAAAACCCTATGCTGGACGCTGAAGTGAAGAGACCCCAAGATTGGGATGATGAAGAGAATCCTCCCTACGCGTATTACCTGTACTACATGTACGCGAATATGACTGTATTGAATCAGTTTAGAGAGTGAGTTTTGTTTTATTTCTATTCTGTGGAAATTAAAATGTATATTTATATTGTTCGAGTTTAAGGTTAATTTAATTATTTTCAACTTTGTGAAAGAATAACTATACGACTATACGTTTTTCGTACACCGCGTATCGCTTTTCCCCTAGTACTTTTCTCGGGCATATGAGGTTAACTGGTATATCATATGTATATGTATCAGACATGAACCAAAAACTCAAGAGGATAGCTAATAGCGATACAAGATGGCATAGTTGGTTATTTAGTGCCTGTTGGTATACATCAGTGAGTACTAAATAGCTATTTTTGTAACTAATTTGTTTTACATTGACAAGCTGCAATTTATCAAAGTCACTCTAATTTCTAGTGCTGATAAACAAATCAACTAGATAGCACTTACTGCACTAATTTTTATGGATAGTGACGGCTGTTTTAGGATTAGCGCCATCTACCCACATTAGGAAGCGTTAATTTGTAATTTAGTTAGTAACACACACTGCCATCTTTTGCATAACGCCACAGTACAGGAAATAACTTTAGCTCGTGATCAATATTGGAATAATATTACAAGGAAAAAAACAGACTTTATTTTTCATATTAAAGAGGAATTAATTGATATCCAGAGTCGTTTACGTAATATAAACAACTTAGTGATCAGCGCCATCTAGATGTAAGACGGAATTTTAACTTTTTTCGGAGCTACGATCTGTATTATGGAGATTTAGCAACCCCCTTGATTTATTGGTCCATGGTATCGGACAAACAAGTTGCCAGTTCTTGGGTCTCTTGGTTTGACAAACACTTGAAGCACGTGAACTATCCTTAGGAGAGCTACAATCTCCTTAGCATGATGTTATCTCATAGGAAATGAAACTATTTTTCATCGCGTATATTTGTTTTTTCCAAACAAACCAACGGTTCGGGCCCTTTACAGGTTAACCGTGACCATGAGGCCTGCTAAGCGATTTAAATCCGGAAAAATAGTTTAATTTCCTATGTATAACAATCGCGAAACCTAAGAACTCGATACGATGTTATCTTTTTTAGTTTGAAAGATATTTTACAAATTACTTTTTATTGGGTAAGAAAAACCAGGTCAAGAGTACCTTTAACTGACGAGCTTGTATGCAAGCAATTAGTGTTTATGAGGTGAAAGATGTATTAGGAGCGCAGCAAGTGGAAAGTTGGGTGCGAAATATTTGGGTTCTTTTAAACTTGTATAATAATGTATTTTCAGGGAACAAGGATTGAATACTTTCGTACTGCGACCGCATTGCGGTGAAGCTGGCCCAGTGCAGCATTTAGTATGCGGCTTCATGCTGGCCGAGAATATCTCGCACGGCCTGCTTTTGAGGAAGGTAAGAAATATAATAATACCTGTGCTGAAGTCACTTTTAAGTCGTATCCGGGTTATCAAGTCTTAGAGCGACTCTTGCTTGCGACCTTGGAACGGTGTAGGAATACCTGCCTACGTGATATTCGTTGCCTTCTTCTTCCTGTCTATCCCACGTGGGATCGACACAACATGTGTTTTTCTTCCACTCTCCCCTACCGACCTTCATTTCCATACTCACACCTTTCTTATCCATGTCATCTTTCACATGCATCTTTTCTTTGACCTTCCTGTCCCCTTGTATCTCTACATGTCCATACAAGTGACATGTCCATCCCACGTTATAATCGTTGACTTAAAGTTATGGTTATCAATTAATCATCTAATAATACGAAAGTAAAACGTGTTTTCAAGTCAGTTTTTTTAACAAATAACTCAAGACACCGTGTGAAAAATAGATAATGATGAAGTGCCAAGTCTGATGGACATACCTTGTTGACTTCAAGTTTTGTTGTTGAATATCCCTTGGCTTCGCGAGTTCATTTATGAGCTCAAATACCATCTGGTCTAATACCGCATTATCAACCTTTATTTGTCAAGTTTTTGACAATTAAGTTTCTTTTATCGTTTGTCTACTTATCTGTTTTTTTTTCAAACATTGCTCGTTTCAGGTTCTTTATAGGTCCCGTGGTCTTTACAGGTCTGACAGGTAAGCAATTTGGATCCGAAGAATAAATTAATTAAATTTCCAATACTTGTATTTGTCTCCAGGTGCCTGTCCTTCAGTACCTGTACTACCTGGCCCAGATCTACATCGCGATGTCTCCCCTGAGCAACAACTCTCTGTTCTTGAACTACCACCGCAACCCTCTGCCGGAATTTCTCGCTAGGGGCCTCTGCATCACGCTGAGTACTGACGATCCATTGCAGTTCCACTTTACTAAGGTTGGTGTCAAGTTTACGAAAGATATCTTTAAGACGAAATGGTATCGTGCTTGCCAACTATTTAAAGCGTGTGAGGTAGACGCGGAGAAGTACTCCAATAAATTCATAGGATGATATTTAAACATGTCTTTTAGAAACTTCTCTGACTGTAAAATAAACTCATAATCACCTGATGTATTTATTACTAAACCAGGGAAGGAAAATTTAATTGAAGTGTCTTTAATTACAATGGAATGAATTGGATTTTTCTGTTAATGAATTTTGTTAGAATATGAAAATTTTGGGAACCGTTGTGATTTTTTGTTATCGAGGGAAGTTTAGTCAGTCGTGTTTCGAGCCCCACAGTTCACTACCGGTATTTCCCGTTTTCGAAAATCCGATTTTCGTGTTGTCAAAACTCATCAAGACGTCTATTTTGGGCCTCACTTTACCTTAGGCTGCTAACAGATTGGCTGCATGTTTGTAGTTAATGCGTGAAGTCGTTATCAACTTCATGCAGTCGAAATCGACTTTATGCAGTTAATGCGTGAACTGGTTGATAATGGCTTCCCGCATTAACTGCAAATATGCAGTCAAACTGTTAGCAGTCTTAAGGATAACGCTTTGGTAAGAGTCTTCAGTCTGCTCTTGAGACTGGTAAGAAAAATTTACAATGACCTAGTTCAGCGTAGATACGTGGATTATAAATAGCGCTATGAAAGATAAAGCGATTTTTTTTTGTTTTTTATTTGACTATATACATTTTTTTTATGTACAATAGATACACGCTTGACTGCGGTCAAGGTTGACTGAGGTTATGACCTAAAACAATAACAACATTTGTTAAAAAAACGCCTCTTCATTCTAGCCTTGAATAACCCCAAATTTTCGGGAAATGCAGACAATAGTATGTTCAATGCCCTTGCCGTATGTAATGGAAGGAAGCTAAGAGTTCTTGTGAATGGGTGGTGGTATATCAACGACATTAGGATGGAGTGTGATATTTTTATTTATTCACTAAATGATTCTCAGCACGGACAGGTTTCTTGCTAGGACATCAGGTCATGGCTTAATATTCGCCCTCAAAATGTTCAGAAGTTACATTACATACCCTCTATTATCACGGGATAGTGACAAAAAGTCGTACCGATGCGACAACTGCAGCTGCTCAGAATCGTGCCCACGAGATTATTTCATAGCAAGAACGAAAAAGCGGCGATTGCTTCAACGCATTCAAGTGTATGTCCCTTGCAGGAGCCGCTGATGGAGGAGTATAGCATCGCGGCGCAAGTGTGGAAGCTGAGCTCGTGCGATATGTGCGAGCTGGCTCTTAACTCCGTGCTCATGTCCGGATTCCCGCACGAGGTACTTTCTCCACTCTTAGTATACAACGACTAATACTTCTCGTGTACAACCCGTCCACGAGGTTTCTATACCTCTCTTTCTTCGATAACGAAGACATCACACTTATCAGCGCGGATCACGTGTCATTACTTGTTGGATTAGGCCCTAGATCATTCAACCAATTAGGTTGGTCAGAAAAAGTGTTGTCTCCATGCAACAAAATAAAAAACCCTCGTTTTAATGACCATTGAGTTTCGTTTCGACCCGGAAGATGCATCTGGACACAGGCCGGCAACGATTCTGCTTACTGCTGAAATGTGTGGTGATTTCCTAATTTTGGATAATGTCTGTCTTATGGGATGGCTCGACATACTCTCATTCCCATATTCCGTTTCATATACGTCAGATGAAGCAGTATTGGCTCGGCCCGAACTATGTGAAGGAAGGCGTGGCAGGCAACGACATCTCTCGCACCAACGTACCCGACATTCGGGTCTCGTTCCGTCACGAAACGCTTCTCGATGAGCTGACCAACATCTTCAAGGTAAGCTGTTTATTACTATCCTTACATACGGATGTAGAGCGGCTGCATATTTTGAAGAATATGGTCACTGCGTGGCACTTACTCTGGCCACTAAATGCCAATAGTTGTTAGAACGTGACGGTCTTCTTGAAATTTCAAAGAACGCAACCGTCCTTGAGATATCTGAGCTTTGAAACTGAGTTCAGGGTCACGCTTTTGACACTCAAATCTAACTTATTCTCGCTTGCTCTAGCGTGGGTAGTTGTATACGTCTGGATGTTGAGCTCGAGTCTCACACCAGCACAGAAAGAGATAGAGGAAAATTTAAAGATTCTTACGATAATGCTATTTTCTAACCCCTGTTAAGCTCTAATCGTATTTGTTTGGATCCCTTATAAGATTTTTTACTAAACTCTTTTAATTGTCCGGGTTTTATATGTCTGCCGTGTTGCTTAATATATGTATTTGTTTGTACGTCACTGCAAGCATACACAATATTGAACCTCGGAATTGTGCGACCAAAATGACAATATTGCTTTTGGTCCTTCGAGTCGGATCTGAACCATTTTGACACAATTTAACTCGAGATTCGAATTTGTGTTAAAAGTTAACATGTCCACTTACATCGTCTGCTTTGGGGTAGACATTTGAGCAAAGCGTCAGTGGAGCTGAGGCATAATGGTAGATTTATACCGCAGTCTCGATAATAATATGACGAAATTGGAAAGGTAAAGTTTTTCAGTAACTGGCAAAACTATATCTTTTTCATATATTTGTCAAACCAGTCAAGTGGCATTTACTTCCGGTGCCACATACCTATTTTATGTTAAATCTGTTTTTTTCACCCAAAAATTTCCTTTTTCAATTCGTCATTTTATAGTTGAGTATGTCAGGATCGCTGCCATTGGATGTTTTTTCATTCATTCCCATAGAGCTTATGTCGCCTTTTGATCACCTTTGGCGCTTTACTCAATCGGTCTGCTTTAACTTGTCAAAAGTTTAAATCAGTGTTATGTTACCTAAAAAGGGAATTCGCTGTCGGCGATTGTATAGTTCGAAATTATCACTTTCCCCATCAATTTTCGAGCTTTATTTGTGCTCATACCAAAAGCAAATAAAGCAATTTGGACTCAATTTAAATTGCCAATAAACGAAATGGGAGAAATGGGCCTTAAAGAACGGAATGGGCCTTAAAGTCCGTATTAATAATCAGCTCCTAAGCCTGGTATTAATATCGAGATCAGAGTCATCTCAGATGGAGATGTCGCTCCGATCTCGATATGCATCTCAAAATCAAAATGTTTCATTCAAATTAATTTTCAGGTTAGTTTTCTGTAACTAATTTCGGTGCCAATTTTTATTATTCTAATATTCTAGAATATTATCGTGAAGTATTATTTAATATTTCATGACAGTTATACTCGAAGACTTAAATAATAAAAATTAACGAAATTAGGTAAAGGAAATTGACTTGAAAATTACCCTTAACATCTAACGCGCGCTTGGCTTCGAGCAGATCCAGTAATATTTCTTGCCTTAAGTAAATACGTGTGTATTCCATTATTTCGTGTAAAGTCCACTGTACTGTTTAAAACCTATTGTCTTCGTAGAATGTAAAATATATCTGAGATTTGGCTTTGTCTGAAACCCTTAAAGTGAACACAGCAGGATTGGTTGCATAGTACCAACTCTAAAAGACTATCACCATCGACATCTTGGATGATATCATCTCTAGTGACCAATATCAAGCCCTTACTAAAAAAAGAACTTGATAAATGGTCTTAGCTTAATCAGTAAGTGACATTTACGAAATTTTGACAACTCTCAAATTATACGCAATCAATGAGCACTTAATCGTACACTGGGAGTATATTTATTAATAAGTCAGTTGTCTTACAAGATTTAAATGTTGTTTCTGCACTATTAATTCAGGCCTATGTATTATTTCATTGCTATGCCAATGATCCTAGCCTTTTTGACAATTTATCGAATTTCATTCCATGGGTAGGTACATCAAGTGTGATTCTTTTGAAAGGGACAGTAAGGGAAATCCGAAAACATGGCGGGAAACTGTGTAAGGAACGATTAATTCTTTTTTTTGTGAAAAGCCAAGTGAGTCGTTCATAAAAATGAATAAATATTATATATACGTATATATTACCAATACTATGCTTGAGATGGCTTTATTAATACGGACCTATGTTAATCAAAATTAAAGAGTATATTTTATCAAAATAAAATGCTAAAGCAAATGGTAACATTTCAGGAGGGTATGTCAACTCGTCGATAGACATCCACAAGCAGAACAGTGGATGGCGCAACGAATATAACCGCTACAAATATTAAACATTTTTATTTTAACAACCTAATCATTTGAGCCCCGATTTGTGAAAAGCTTTAAGGTTGCCACACTAGCGTTAGGCACCCGTCAGCACCGTTGTTACATTAAAAGCTGCCAAACTTTCTAAGATCCTTTACTTCTTTATAAGTATTTTAACTAACTAGTCTACGTTATCTAGAGGTTATACCTCTCTGGTATATAAACTAAAATTATAGTCGGATTTTTAATTAGGTAGGAAAATATGACGTTTAGTGGGTTGCCAGTTTTTAATGCAATAGAAACAGTGTTGTCTTAAAAGATCAATTTCTCTGGTTCACTCAGTAGGTCGTCAAGATTAATTAAATATTTATTTTAGTATGTGCCGACTCGGTCTGTAGTTCAGTTGGTAAGAGCAGAGCCCCTGGTGTTGCAGCAGATGGTAGTTCGAATTTTTTTGTGATGTTTGACTTTTGTATCAATAATAATAAATTAAATATTGTTAATAATTTTTACGAGTCAATTTTTAAAAACATGGACATTAGGAAAATGGTAGAAGTAAAGTCGACTAGTAAAGTAATAATTACTTTGCTTTGTAATTACTATTTAAAAAATTTTTCACTGTCTGCTTAGAAATTTTGTTTAGTAGATTAATAGTAAAAAATCTTTAACGTTTATTATTAGCTAATTCATTTTCAGTGAGTTCATTGATAATTGATCTAAATACAATATATATTTTTCTAAATACATACCATCAAAATGCTAAACTACCAACATGGTAACGTTATTTTTCATAGTTGTTATCTATAATTAAAACTCCGACTATATTCCATTTTTTATACTTCAAGTGGCTTTTGAACGTAAAAAATACAACAAAGAAACATGCAAATTAAAAAGAATATAACAATCGGGGCTGAAAATAGCGCAGTTAAATGTTTCTCTAATAAATTTTAGCTTTTTTTAATCCTATAGAAAGAATAATTACAGGGCTGCACGTGCCCCAAATCAATGTTTATTGTTAGTATAACAATTTTAAGCGTACATTTTCCTTTTTACATTATTATATATATTTTATTCTTATTATAAAAATAGATATTTATTTATATCTATAAATAATTCGCATCTCGCACTGTTTGTCCCTTATTTATCAAAGATCAGCGACACAATTTTTATGTTCTCCACTAAATAAGCGGCCGTTGAAGTGGTAAATAATTTATTATTATCCTTTACTCTCACGATAATCTACTGACCAAGTGAAAAGCACTCGTTATTCTTATACAGCTCTAACATTAAAGCGGTATGTCTTTCTTAAAGACAGAATTGCAAGAGCATTTGAAATTACATAGCTGCTTAAGCCGATTTCGCTGTATCGGCTTCGATTTTTACACCGATACTGCGCCGAAGTTTTTAACGCTCTGTCTGCGGAGATCCTTAACTGTTATAAATAGGAAGAGTACGCTTGAAATTGTAAATCGCGTAGTTTATAAGCTAAAGTACCCTAAAACTAGTTCAAATAGTTCCCACATTGTGATATATAGTCTATACAAATACGAAAGTGCCATTTCCAACGTTAATTCCTTGTAATAACGAATTGTCGAGTCAAGCTTGTATTAATCCTATTAACTACTTCTTAACTTCTATACCACTTACCGTCGGCCAAATTTAGTAATCTAATTATGTCTAATTGGGCTTTTCGTTTAACAGAATGTTAATCAAAAGTTAAGTAGTGTTCAATGGCCCGAGCAAACCTGTACCACCCATAAGATCTCAGCGAGTCCCACAGAAATCTAAATATTGCCTATTTTGTTACTTAAAATTACAATTAATAAAGCAACATCTCTATTCAGCTGTTGGTAGCTGTAAAGGTACCGGTAGATTGAGTGAAGAAGTAGATTTCTCACAGATGGCGCTACGGCAAAAAAGTCGTTAAAAATAAAAAACAAAGATCTGCAACAAGCACAGAACAATTCGTAAGGTCTGTTAGTTCGTTCCGTGGCCTAGTTGGCATAGATAGATAGATAGATATACACTTTATTGTTCACACACAAGAACAAAAACAGTACACAGACAGCTTAAAACTAATGTTCTTCCAATGAACTTCCAGACAACCTTTGCGATATAGGAAAACTAATCAGAGCGGGACACGTAGTGTACCAATAGCACAATTTGAATTGTATAGAAAAACTATAATTAACATTATATTTTGTCAAATAATAAATAACGATATGGTATACTTACATGTATATTAGTATGTATAAATATACCTAAATAACGTTATACTTACTAATAAATAAATACACGTTGCAGACTAGTACAGTGTCAGAAGATATTTACGCAACCCAGTTTTGAAAATGGGAAGCGACTTTGAATGTCAGATTTCAGACGGAAGTTCGTTCCATAGTTGTGCAGCCTTAAACGTAAAAGAGTTTTTGAAATACTCCAAGCGAGTGAAAGGTGGTTTCAGTAGGTAGCTAGCATTGTGTCTGGCATGGTTGGCTGGAAGACGTTGGTTCAAATCCAGCCGGATCGAAAGATTTTTTTCATAGTGTTCGATCTTTGTATTAATAATTATTGTCTATTTATTTAGATATCTGTGGCGAGTTCGTAGTAAACGTTCCAGGGTTTCTATTACCCGTAGAACTAATGGAAATGTTCAGGGAAAGCTTTAGACAATGTTATTTGCTCGGACAACATCACGTGTTACACGACGAAAGAAATCAGCTATTCTTACCTACTCATCTAAAATTAAAGTTCTGGGTTTATTGAAATGAATTTTATTGGATCTCAAACGTAAACAGATGTGACAATATGTCAAATGGTTTCTTAGCTCTTTTTCTTAGAATAAGTCTAATTTCAAATGTACTGGTCCCTCAGCGAATTTAGAGGCTTTTGTATTTGTATATCGTGTTTGTTTTATGTGATTAGTGCATTTGTCAACATATTATTTGTGTATCTTAACTAGAATGCTCAGTTTTCTGCAATATCCTATTCTAATCTAGAATATCTTTTGTGATTTCTATAATCATAGGTACAATATACAATATAAAAGTTCGGATTGTGTGTCAATAAACCACGTTAAAAAACTGTTAACGGATTTGGATGAAACGGATCGTTTGTCGGTTTTCAATATAGTTCCACCCTCACCATCCTCTTTCGGTTGACTAGAAACAATTCCGGCTTGGCGCCCGAGTGCACCGTGTAGCAAACCATGGAAATATCTATTAAGGACTGTTAACGAAACTCAGAAATCAATTTTAAAGATTTATTCCTTTATGTCAATTTTAATCACAATTTACTATAATCACGACGAGACCAATAACAGTCAATTTATCTGAATAAAAAGCAGTATTTTACAACGCCGATGGAAGGAGACGTCAGTCGCACACCAAGCGCTAGGAAGAAGTGAGTGTGCGCCACATACTAAGTCTAAGACTTTTACGTCTTAGACGTCGGTATGCGGATCGCGAGCCTAAAATGTAGATGGGCAGGACATGTCCGTAGGCGGGATGATGACCGATGGACCAAGGCGGTCACTGATTGATACCCGGTAGGAGCGAAACGTCCTCGAGGCAGACCACCTGTTAGAATCTGCTAGGTGGTCGGACTCGCACGAGACTAATTAAGCTGGCGTGTAAAAGAGTTGACCTATACCCAGCAGTGGGTGTCTATAACAATTATTCTAAAAAAGGTGTTACATAAAATTAGAAAATCTCCGACTGAAATTAAAATAATCTTTATTTCATAGGCAAGCATATTTATATTTGAAATAGATTAAACTCTTCGTAAGACAAATTCCCCTGAGAAGGAGCAAGAAACGTAAATAAAAACTTTGCACACATATATAATTTACAATATTTATTTCAAATGTCATAGATTAAATGAATTAGGGCTTAAGATTTTCAAATTAAAACTGCATATCGATGCCTTATTTTCTCAAACTCGTATCTTATAAAGAGTGATAATTTTGGAGATGGCAAAACTGTTAACATTTCAATAACTTTGTGCTTTAACATACGAGTTCAGACGTGAATATTTTCTACTGCCTTTTTTATTACTAACAGACGATTAGCTGGAGTTACAATATAAGTACGAGACTGTCAGGAAAGGTAGTTCTGTTTTAAATACTCCAAACTTTTGTATTTATTTAAAACAAGTGCATTTATAATGAAAATTATTCATTTTAAAGGTAATTACGACAAATATAATGTTGACAAATGTTACTAAATAACTATATGTGTAATGCTTACGTTGTGAACGTTGTGTTAATTTTTTATAATCATTTTGTTAAAAATATACTTTACACGTACGATGTTAGAATCTCATACACTTTATTACTCGTGTTTAACTTAACAAATGTTTATTTAAGCTTGAAAATCAATAAAGACTAAATGTTTAACTATATATTCATGTGAATTAACAAAAATATTCTCACATTTTTATGAATGTAAAAATTACAAAAGCAAATAAGTTAACTTCATTCCATTAAATCACGTTTTAGGTTTTCGCGATTGTTACGTAAAGAAAAGGAAACTATTGTTTTGGATGTAAATCGCGTTTTTCTTCCAAACCAACGAACGTTTCTGGTCATCTTGACGACTTTACCATTTCATTCAGGCATTTCATTCAAATAAGGCGGTAAATAAGGAATTACGACCGAGACTCTGTTAGAATTACGACCGAGGCTTTCGGAGTCGAGGTTCGTAATTCCCGTACCGTCCGTGAAATATAGGTACAATGTTTTTCATCACACTTGCAAATAAATAGTATAATCGCATGCGGGCTAACTTGACTATAATGCCCCAAATAAAACCCTCGGACCTTTTTTCTTCTCAATACAGCCATAATCGGCCTTTTGTCACAAATTCTTTGCAATTCTTATTTTTACCACAAACGGATTAACTTATTTGCATTGTAATGTGATGATAAAAGTTATTCTAACCTTACATAACCTCAAAGTTACACTTTTCCTGTTAATTCAAACATAACTTAGTTCAGTTATACAGTACCGGTACAGTAATATACTTTACTATGAAAATAAATGATTAATGTCAAACATTTCTATGTACACACGCCAGCACATCAAGCTATACATTGACGTATCTCGTTCCGTTGGACAGGAGGCGATTTTCGAACAAAAAAGTGTAGTCTGATGTGCCGTTGTCCGTACAATAACAAAATTTTACAAAAATTGTACCGACAGAACTGAACGTTATTAGTGTTGTTGGAAATAAAAATTATTCAATAAACTTTTTGTGATTTATTAATTTGTTACCTTAACAACTTAGTAACAATTATGTTCATCGTTGAATCTGCATGTTGTTGACTATAAATCTGAAGTCATAAGTATAGCAAGTTTTAGTTACAAGTTATTAAACTATAACGCTTTTTATTAAGTACTCAAAGAACACACTCAGCGTCAGGTTTAAGCTACACATACACAACTGTCATTTTTTAAACTGCAAATTTACACGTTACAGAATGATACCTCTAATGATTACTATGCCAACTTAATTTTTTGGTTATTTTCTGTTTATTCGAATTTTGTGAAAAAGAAATAAAGGAACAAACAAACAAAAAAGTCGGGGTAGTGCTCATTGGAGGAGGTATCGAAAAGAAAAACTCATGATTTAAGGACCACGGACTTGTTCGAAACAAATGTCGAGCAAAAATCCAACTTATTATACGTGAGTTGTCCGCGTTAGTTTAGTTAATATATCCGAAGCTCACGGTGGCTTTCTATTTAAAATAGACGTGCTTGTTGTTGTATTTTGTTTCTTAGAACAAGAGTGTCTTAAATTCAGAATTGTTCAGCATTTAATTTCTATTTTATAATCATGTCTCCTATAATCGAGATGCCAATGATTGATGACACGGATCAAGGGTAATTTTCATGTTAGTTTGCTCTACCCTATTTCGGGGGCAATTTCTGTTCTTTAAATATTGTAGAATATTATCACGAAGTGTTAACCTGAAATATGATGTTAAATTTCTCGTTAATTTACTAAAATGCTTAAATAATAAAAAAATGACACCGAAATTAGGTAGGGAAAACTAACTACTAACTAACTAAACTAACCTGAAAATCACCCTTGATTCGCGATGTCGGCAATGAAAATATAAAAATATATATAAAGGTTATGTTTTCAAAAACTTAAATAATAATGTGACAACCCTACGCTCCGAGAGAAGTGTAGGCAATGATGCGCCAAACCGGTGCAAGTTTGATTACTTGTCATATTATAATGTGGTCATGTACACAAAAATTTCAAGAGTGTACGGAAGTAAGGAAGATACATATGTATTCTCCTCATAAAATTGTCTTATTTACACATTTACAAATTTCACTAAAAATTCATAACACTTATCAAAAGCACGTTTTTGTTAATTACTAAATCAGGTTTTTTGATACAATTTTTTTAACACCAATGCATTTTTTAGGCTAATTTAATTTTCAAATTCAAATTACAAAATGACTAAAAAATCCATCCGTGTTAAAAAAAAATTATCAAAGAACCTGTTTTTAAGTGATTGCCAAAAAAATGTTTGATCCCTAGACATTTTTGATGTGTGTACTTTGGAACACTGCAGATTTGTTTGTGTTGTACTTTATATTATAACCTTGGGTGAATTTGTGTACGTAAACATTTACGTAAATAGTTATTTTTCTGAGATTGTATGACCTTTATGTATACTAATACAATGTAGGGTAGTTGAATATGTTCTAACGTATTGTTTTTTGGAATTTAGCTCCAGCAAGGCGGCACCACTCACGACTTTTAAAAAGGTATTGAGAAGATGATACAAAATATGTTTATCTATGATAGTTAATGACACACATTAATATTTAATGTCTTTAGTTCAACATTTCCTTGAAACGAAATTTAAAATTATAGAAAGGGTTGCGTTCGTCTTTTCTTATTTAGTAAACGTCGCTATTTTCTGAAGTCCAAGCTTCGGAGCCATTCGAGTTTCTTAACGGAAGTTTACAATGCATTGTTCGTCTGTGTCAATCCTATATATTGAATTAACATTGAACATCGGGAAAATTCGGAAATCAATATATTTCCGACTACTGTCTAAAAGAACATAAAAATTAAAAGTAATTCCCATCAAAGAGAATCCAGATTTTAAAAACGACATTATATGAACGAACACAAAACATGTTCAATTTAAAATTTAAAAAATGCACCCTGGGACATCGGAGTTTCAAAATGGCCACCTTAAAGATATAACGATTTTTCGAAAAAAAAAAAACAAAATACAAGATCTGGCAGTATGACTAATTAGACGCTTTAAGGATGATTCACATTAGACCGTGCTGGGCGCGAGCTGTGTCCGAATCATCCGAGCCTCAGACGGTCTGCATTTTCATATTCACATTAGACCGTGCTGGGCGCGAGACGTGTCCGAGGCATCCGAACCTCGTACGTGCCGCACGATCATAAATTGGACAGAGTCAGTCCTGTAGCTTGTCGCGAAGGACGAAAAATTTTACCACCAGAGCCATTGTGCTCAGGAAGTTGGCAACATTTCCTCTTTGGTTGGCTACACCGATATCTACGACTGTATTGACGTACAGACTAGAATATGTACGATATTCCAAATAATAAACTTACCAGTGTTGACAATAAAAAATCTACATAAAGCAGTGCAAGCTAACAGCATTGTAATAAATATTGTAAGAACTTAATTAATTAATTAAAAAAACATTTAGGATGTCTTTAAATGAATATACGCCATAAGTCAGTTAAATTTTCCGTTAATTATTTTATTTCCGTTAATTGTATTATTTTCCGTAGCGTCATCAACAGCAAATCCTCCTCGAATCCAATTTACTAATATGGTTCTTAAATGAGGAATTGCAGATAAAAGTTTAGTAATTACTTTTGTCCCTTAAAAAGATATTTATCCTCATGGAAGAAAATATCCTAGGCGTCTAATTGGTCATACTGCCATATCCTAGACTGTAAGTTTTCTTCCATAGTTCCATTATTTCGTGGAAAATCGTTATATTTTACGGCGGCCATTTTGAAATTCCTGTACTGTCCATATATACTATCTCTCTATTTTTTTTCAATATTGAAAACTAGTCAGCAGGTTTCATAAACAAAAAAACAATTTTTCAACACAATCGTCAATTTCCGTAAGACTCGAATAGCTTCGAAGTTTGAACATTACAAAATGGTGCTGTACATGGTTTAAAGCTATACTTTACTTAGTAAATATCTTACATATGTGTGTATCTTACATAATTAAATTACTAACTTGAACAATACATAATCAAGTTTACATATCGTTCTCATTGTACGGTATGTATCTTATTACCTCACATGAGGTAAGTACAGAAAGAATTATCGTAGTGTAGCTTAGTTTAAAAATATGAATTAATTTGTTAATAAATTAGAAACATCGCCGAACGACGTTAACGCTGTGCTGCATCATGTTAGTATTGTAACTTGAAACTCCCACAATACAACAGAGTAAGTAACTTCGGAGGTTAGTATGATAAACTAAAATCGATTTTCCAGACAATTGGATACCCACAGCAGCCGACGACGCCACGCGCGGGTGGGAAGGCCTCGCTGCTGCCCCCCAACTTCTCGACACCCATCATCAGCCTTAAACGGCACTCGCTAGTTTAGAATTGATAGCTTATAATAACGTGTGTGTGTGTGAGAGAGAGTGTGTGTGTGTGTGTGTGTGTGTGTAAAACTTGTAATATCAAATTAAAATTGTATTTTATTTAAGTTGTTTTTATTAATGATCTGACCTTCTAGGAAATGAACCAATTGGCTAAAAATGTCGATTACTTTCATTGACTTACAATTATATGGACGTCGGGTCCGCGTTAAAAAGTGTCTGAACTTATAGGGCGTTAAAATTGTATACAGAGCGTCATTCACGCTTTAGTCTTCGTTTGTTCGACTGACAGTGAAGCAAGCAAAGTTAGACAGTACTGCGATGACATTACAATTTAAATTCAACGTTTTAGCTTTTTCATATTCCTTTACATGTCACTACGTTTAAATAGGTTGACTTGAGACATTTTTTTCGTAGTTTTTGTATTAGACCCGTCGTCCATTTATTTGTAAGTCAATGATTACTTTGATTATGATTGTGTCTTAAATTAATTTTTTAACGCACTTCAATGTAACGGATATCTTCTACGGTCTTTGATTTCGATGCTGACGTAGGCACTACTTAAAATGTTTCATTCATATAAAAAGATATTCTCGTCATATGAAATTGCAAATGGAGAATAATAAAATACGTATTTATGGTTACAACATTTTTTTTGTCAGTTTAAAAAATAAAGTATGAAATTTTAGGGACAAATCGAATCGAAAAATAAATCAAGTAGAATTAATTAAGTTTTTATCATAGATTTAGAATATATAGGTACTAAATATATGGTTTTTATAATATTTAATTGCAAACGCAAAAAGACCGCTTGCATTGCTTTTTAATCGAAAAAAACAATGTTTTGTATTCTTCTCTAATTAAATTATCACCATTAAACATGTTATTCCAAATTCTTGTTTTCATCTATCTTATCAAAAAAGTTCCTTGTTTCATACACCGAAACCATCCGAAACTTGTTTCCACCCATTGACCTTATTTTTTTTTTCACCTCTGACATTGACTTCTCTAAGCATTGACCTTTTTTCCATCCTCTAATCATTGACCTAAGGTTTCCACTACTTTTTTTTAAATTTATTACATGACCTGGATACAAAGTCCTTCAGTCGAAAACATTTTAACATTAACAAAAACCAAAAAAAGGCTTAGAATTAGAACAAATTCAAATTAAAGTTTTTTTTTAAATTAATTTATTTCTGGCCATGGAAACATAGTCCTTCAGCCGAAAACATAAAAATAAGTTTTTCTGTAAATATGGCCGCCACAAAGAGGATAGGCAATTTGAGGCGGCGTGCTTGGATTGACTCGGGATTCCTTAGAACGGGCCGATACGGGTATTTTAGTTCGAGATTCGTATAATTTCGCGTTTTAATCTTCGATTAAGGCACAATAGCACTACCCTATTCCACTTTAAACTAGATTTCATAAAATAATTGAAAGTCAAAATAAAAACGACACTTTTCCCTCGAAAAGGTCCAGAGCGAATCCCAAATTAAAGTAAGTATGTATAGTGTTGCTATGTCATTGAAAGCTTTTTATTTACATTTTTTTTTTAATCTTTAAACCTCCTTTAAATTTACAGAAAGTTGCGATTTCCTTATTGAAATTACCAAAAACTTTTTTAAATATCTTTGGCGTAGCCCAATAGAATAGAAAGACTGCTAAAAATGTCATGAGAACGGTCATAACAATGTGTTGAAAAGTAAAAATTTACAGTAAATCCCACAATGGGATAAGTTTTTGTAACGAGGCGGCGAGCATCACCACACACCATGTTTGGCTCCAAGAATGATTTCAAAAAGTGGGCACAAATGCGAAAGTAAGTACATACGAATTCCCTTTGCGAACCCAACCAAGAAAGACGTATCATACGAAGACTCTACCGTTTTACCATTTTTTACCTATATATTTAGTTATTTTCTTCATTTGCCCCAGGTTCTACGAAGGTTCTCCATTGTTCAGTTACGAGATTTCTTACATTTGTACATTTTAGTTATATTTTATTATACATATATATACAAAAGCGAGAAAACTCAAAAAACAGCGCTTGCTTTCTGAAGTATGGCATGAACGTGACAATACGGCTGATGTATCATCTATGGGATTTTCGTCTGTAATATTTAATATGCAAATTAGTAATAATTCGAAATTCTAAACACAGCAGGATCCTTACTTAGATAACAAGAATAAGTTCCGAAATTATGTCATTGTAAGAATACTTTGTACCATTTTATTTATACCTTCTGTAAACATAAGTACACAAGTGTTCTGTGTTGATTTTAAGTATTTTTTATAACTACTTTTTGTATCGATTTATTTCAATGCGATTCCCAAGCGAATCGATCTAGTTGAACGGCAAATCGAATCGTCTAGATCAGAAAGCAATAAACATTTTGTAAAAATGATCTTATAATTTTAACAAAACAAGATTTACAACAAACATTCAGTCGTAAATAGTTTTTGCCCTCAATTTTGAGCGTTAATGGGTTCCAACCATTGACTTACAATTATATGGACGTCGGGTCCGCGCTAAAAAGTGTCCGAACTTATAGGGCGTTAAAATCGTATACAGAGCGTCATTCACGCTTTAGTCTTCGTTTGTTCGACTAACAGCGAAGCAAGCAAAATTAGACAGTACTGCGATGACATTACAATTTAAATTCAACGTTTTAGCTTTTCCATATTCCTTTACATGTCACTACGTTTAAATAGGTTGACTTGGGACATTTTTTTCGTGGTTTTTGTATTAGACCCGTCGTCCATTTATTTGTAAGTCAATGGTTCCAACCCGTTGTTAATTAATGGGACCCGATTTAAAGCCGAGATTGACAAGGCGCCGGGTTAAAACTTGCTTGCCCACCTCTGGCTGTACTCGATTTTTTTAAGCTACATAGACTACACTAAACATATCCACCTAGGGCCAAGGCTCCTGCTACGTGTGCGTGCGTTTCTGAAGGTACCTACTCAAGCTATGTAACTTGCTTTGCGGGCACGTGCGAAGTAGTGAATAATACTTACTTACTTAGCAGTACTAACTAAGGGTTTTTGACTATTGTGATGCTGCAGTGAGACAAGAAAGCATTTGCGCGGTATCACGCGCACGTACATCCGCAGTGCTACAGAGGGCACCCGAAATACGCGAGAGCAACCGCCAGGCCAGGTGTCTACCCAGGAAGAGGAGGCATTCCACCGCATAGGACTTCTGGGAATTCATACCACAGGGGTTAGTTCAGGATATTAACAGTCTATCTGTACAACCTACACGTAAACTACGTTGGTAAAAAAATAGATTCTGAAATAAAGCCCTTGTCCCTGTCAGGCGATCCAAGCAAAATGAACCGTATTAGTACGGGAAAAAAATTTAATTGGGACTTAGGTAGTATAGACTCTTGCCACTACCACGAGTTTACTGTGACAGTTGTCGCTAGCGGCCGTGTAAATTGTGTATGGCAAATTATAGAGTGTCCCTAGAGGTCACAAGAAGAAACAACATTTTGTTTACAGACGAACATTTTGTTTAATAGTAATCTCATGGTAGAGGCACTGGGCCCAAGAGTGTCGCTGAGAGAGAAGTTTTAAAAAAATTAACATTAGCATCACGGTACATTCATGAAAACGTATTTTATATTAAAAAGAAGTAGTATATTTTGTTATATATATAACATTAACAGACAGACGTCTTCACAAAGTGTTTTAGATTTTGTGAAAGAATTAAGAATTACTGCAACTTTACCTATTTCTGCCGCCTAGCAGTAACGTGAGTATTACTGCGGTCCGGTTTTGAATGGAAGGGATGCTGATAAAATTACAGGCACACCGGACTTGTCAACTTATGTCTCAGGGCGCAGTGGCAGTGCCCCTCCGATCTTTGCGGTTCACAAGGAGCGCTACTGCTATGAAAAGTGAAGTGATTTTATGTTCAATTCGCTTAGTTATGAAAGAAAGATTTGAACTTAAGTTTGAACTTGAGTTTACCGATTTACTGCATATCGAACTCGACAAGGGCGTAACAATATGTGGCAGCACTAGAGAAATGCCAGAGGCTTCTAGTCCGGCGAAAACGCGACTCGTGATTGGTTTTAAGAGACACGTGTTGCTCGCCACGAAAATTTTAACCGGGAAAAAATAGATTTCTCACAGATGGCGATACGGTAAAAAAATCGTCAAAAAAAAGATCTGCAGCAAGCACATAAAAAAATTCGTAAGGTCCGCTGGTTCGTTCCGTGGCTTAGTTAGCATTAGCTTAGCGTCTGGCACGGTTTGTTGAAGACGTTGGTTCGAATCCAGCCGGATCAAAGGAATTTTTTAAGTGTTCGATCTTTGTATTTATAATTTTAACTCGGTAATACACGGGTGTGGGCCACCACCGCCTCCTCAAAAGCCGATATGACGGCCCCGCAGTTCCTCATTGAACAGACAGAGAAGAAACTTCTTATACAACGACGTCAAGTTGAACGTCAAGTAAGTTTTCAACAAGTGGTGATATATTTTATTATTAATTTAGGAAGCAAATTTAACAACACGGATATATAAGCGAAATTTAAACGGATTTAGTTTTTTTTATAACATCTGCTCGTTTGCCTACTGGTTAACATAAAAAAAAAAAAAAAAAAAAAAAGTGACGGCACGAACAAGTCGTGCGCCTGATGGTAAGCTACACGCCTGTCTGTAACAGTTGCAGTGCCACTCAGAGTTTTAAATTGCAAAGATCTGAGGGGTACTGCCACTGCGCCCGTCACCCTGAGACATAAGTTTGTCAAGTCCCATGTGCCTGTAATTTCACCAGCACCCTTACCCTTCAAAACCGGGACACAGTATTGCTGACATTACTGCTTGGCGGCAGAAATAGGTAAGGTGGCAGTACTACCCTGGACGAACTCTTTCTACGAGAAGTTCTACTGCTACGAAATGTAACTCAAAGCAAGACTATACTAGTTACTTATATACTTTAGTATACTTTTTAACTTAGTAACAATGTAGGCCATGCAAATTTCCTGAAGACCGCAACTAAACTCCGAACTCCAGGTGCCATTAGAAGACCTTCTGCAATGCGCGTCGCTCCTGGTGAAGGCACTGCAGCTGCGGCACCATTACATGGGCCTGTCAATGCAGTCGTTCCCGGAAACTCTGGTCGCCTATCTCAATCGTCACGGCAACGTGCCCTTCCATCGGCCCTTCGACATTCGCGACGCTTCGCGAAATTTCAACGACAATTTGATCCTTGGAAGTTGGTACTGCCTCCACCTGTATTAGTTTAAGTCATAGGGACTGTTGGGAGCCTCACCTGGTGCCATAGGTAGCTGCTTCATAACCGGTTCGAAGAAACAATGTTGGGAGCATCAAGTGGACTGTAGTTTTGATGAATAATAAGCTATTTGTTTTAAAATATGTTTAGTATACTTAGTACGAAGAATGCACATTACATGAGAATCTCAACGTTGGAAAAGGTATCCTGTTTGAGTTGCCATTACAATATTTCGTGTTGCCGACACGGACATCATACACATGTTTTCACAGACAATTTTATGTACATACTTACTTCCTAATGTTAAAAAGAAATCATGGTCAACCTTGGAATATGTTCTATCGAGAACGGGTCTTAATTATACCAAGAGACGGTGCGAATTAGGCGTGTATCTGGTGGTAAGCGACACGCCTGTCCGTAGCAGTCGCAGTACTACTCGGAGCTTTAAATCGCAAAAATCTGAGGTGTACTTCCACCACGCCCGTCATCCTAAGACATAAGTTGAAAAGTCCCATGTGCCTGTAATTTCACCAGCACCCTTACCCTTCAAATCCGAAATGCAGTAATGCGCACATTTCTGCTCTTCAGTACTTCCCTGAACCAATTCTTGGGCAAGGAGCTCTACTGCTACAAAATATAAAGAAAGACGTACATAAAAATAAAATTATGACAAAATGTATCTATTTTTATGGCTCATGATGGATTACGTAGGAGTGTATATATTCTACAGTTTACCACTTTGACACATTCTTCACTCTCTTATAGTATTAATGATATTCAATTGTAAGAAATCTACAATGTTTATAATTAGAATCTGGCGATGATATGAAAATTAATATTAATACTAGCGTATTAACTAAATTATTCTTAAATAATTATATCACAACCTCAATAATAAAGTGACGCGAACATTGACCTACCAATAACGCGAAGAAAAACTTTCATAGATTTCTCACAGATGACGCTTCGGCAAAAAAGTCGTTAGAAACAAAAAAACAAAGAACTAAGATAAGGTCTTCTGGTTCGTTACATACTTTTATCACGTGAAATTAATAAAAATAGATTATTATGAAACAAATAACTGTTAAATATAAATATAAATATTAAACCTATTTAAAGTAATAAATTAACAAAAATGTTATCGACTATTCGACTAATTTCTCTCGTAGAATCTTGAAACTTCTGAAAAGTACAACGTACATTTACAGTGCTTATAACTAAACATGTACTTATGTCATAGTCATATAAAGGATGACTCGATCACCGGCCAAACGTAAGGTGCGGAATTTCTCCAAATAGTAACCACAGCGGATGTTACAAATCGACCCCTCCCACGTAAAGTATCGTATGTCAAAATTGCCAAGTTTACAGGGGAGCCTTTTAAAGTTCTGAATTCATTGAAATAAGCATAACACGTGACTTTCGATTTCTCACTTTTATTCGGCAAATCTCGTTACACACGTTGAGTATCATAAAATCCTAGATATCGGTTGGATGATCTATTAAATGATCACTCTATGTGAGTAACAAGCTTTGCCGAATGAAACGGAGAACTTTAAAACACTCCCCTGTAAACTTGGCAATTTCGACATACGATACTTTACGTAGGAGGCGTCGAAATGTTGATTCAGTGTTAATGAATACGCCTTAAGGATTTGATTGCAGCTAGGGCTTCGAAAAATGGTGTCCGTCTTATTGGATTCCACCCTTTAGAAGTGCATAAAAAATTCAGTTGTTTCTTTTGCCTCGTAAGCCTCGTAACCCCACACATGTGTATGTTATTTGGACAAATAAGACAAAATGGTATTTGATATACAAATAAAACCATGATTCAGTTTTATTTTGCTCGTTTTTAACCGACTTCAAAAAGAGGAGGATCTCAATTAGACAGTATGTTTGTTTTGTGTGTATGTTATTACGCGATTATTCCGGCATTTGTGAATCTGTGAATTGAATGAAATTGTTAAGGTACCTCAGTATTAGTCCCATTTAAATTTGAAGAAATATTCCACCTCTAATGCTGGCAAACTGGGGGATGAATCCGGTAATCGATTTGAGCAAAACTTGGCAAATAGATTTAATTCCATGATCTTTTGAGATCGGTTTTTCTTTTATAAAAAAATTATAATTACTTATTTACTTTGGTCAGCTTTCCAAGTATTACTTTTTAGTTCGCCACTTTATTGTTGAATGCGATATGAGGTAATCTTATTATAAAATCGTTAAATTTTAAGTAAGTCATTAAAATTGTAAGCCCTTGTCTAGATACGGACGCAGACCGTTTCATGCAGCTGGCGGGATGTTCTTCCGAAGACTTAGTGGGATGTGAACCACAACATCTCGATTTACCTGTTCACGTCACCAATGTCAGAGGTATCTATGTCCTCGTGATCAATCATTGCATTAAATAAATATTAGACTACATCTCTTACGTTGCTTTGATCCCA